TATTCTTCAGTCATCGATAAACAATTTGTTGGAAAAGTCATTCAATCTACGGTTCTCACTAAGAGTCATGGGGTAGCGACTGCTACTGGGGTTCACTGAGCTTCTTGGCCGATTCTGGAAAAGCCTGGTCCATCCTCGTCTCTAGAAAAAACTGCATTGTGTAACTAGGCTGCTTCGGGAGGTAGCGAGGTCGTGCTGCTTGGAGAGTAGCCCGTCAAAAGGTCTTTCTTCTGTGCAACAATCAAACCTTGTTCTGAGACCTCCTACTCGCTCCTGATGAGGAAGCCTAAAGTTTAGTAGTTCCTGTGCGCACCCAAGCAAGTCTTTCGAACCTTCCCGCGGATGCAATTCATAGTCTGGTACCCACCTATTGTAGGTCTTGGCTTTTAGAGATGCCTCACTGACGCTGAGTGATATCTCAAAATGTATTCACTTGTACATTCAGGGTCCCACGCCATAGTATGACCTTTTGACAACATGAGGAGCGAAAGCAGCTTTATGACAGTCCCATGTCATATTTTCTTAGGCCTCTGGTCCCACCTCTCTTCCCCGTAGCTTCTTATGCACTGCTTCCCAGGGCAGACTTATTAGTTCTTTCCTCTGAGTCATAGTTAACCCTTTGGCTTTTTGTGTAGATTGACCGGGAAAAGGCCTCCACAACCTTTGGATGCTTTCCCGGCCCTAGCTTGCCACTACTCCTGGAATTGTAACATCTGGAGATGGAAGACTTCTTCTCAAAACAACCTGAAAGCGGGAACTCCCATCATCAAGGGATTTGGCTCATTCAATGCCTGCAAGAAAGGCAAACTCAAAGCATTAGGTCTAGCCTTTTCTTTATAGCTCCATACCGAAAGGTAGTCCGCCAGGAATGACTCGACCGAGTTGGAGAGGGAGGAGAATGGATGAGTCAGTAAAGGAAGAGAATGAGAGGACCGGTAAAGCAAGATAGAAGCTAGCAGCATTTAAACCACAAAAGCGATTCACTTGGTTTGGTTCCAACAGCAGATCCAAATCGGGGAGCAGAGCCAATCACAGATTTGGATCTCGTCCCCGCATTGAAACTGCCCTTGATGACCCAAAACGACCGGGTTGTAGTTGAACCATAAATAGAATCCCTCTCTAAGACTGGCTTGTAGCCTACTGAATTGAATTTCTTTATTCTCCTGCTGCTGCGGGAACTATCTTCTCTAGGGGTCTGACGATCTTTCTTTCGCCTTGGGAGCTTCACTTCCTTTCCTTTACATGAGTGAATCAATGCCGTAAGTATCCAAGCAAATCTCAATTAAACTCACTCATCAAGTAGTGGCTCGACAAGCCTTGTTCCCGAGCCCGGACTGAAAGCTTACATCGAGTAAAACGGAAAGTGATAGCGCTTACTGAAAGTACTGATTCTAGCCAAGATTGCATGTTAATTCAGATAGCGAGAGGAAGAGAAGCACAAGCAGTACCACCTAGCCGCCTCCTACCCCGTTCAATAGAATGAATTTCACTCGTGAAGGGAAGAAGGCTCATTCATAGCATTCACTCGTTGGGTTCTTTCCCGGAACTCGTCCATTCACCTGAACTTGCTCTTTGATTCCTTGATGGATGAAGGAAAGACTTCATTGATTGCAACATGGCATTCCCCGGACTACCTTTACCGGAAGACGTGTACTTAACTGAAGTAATAGCAGTGGAACTCATTACCTCATTACCTCATTACCTCTTTTCCTCTTTTCCTCTTTTCCTCTTTTGCTTGCTCTCGAACTTTCAACGGCGGGTAAGAGCTTACGAACTCATGCTTTTCTAGTTAGGACTGGGAGATGAAAGAGAAATCAATGACAGCAGGTAGGAGGGGATTCGTCTGGCGAAGGAAAGACAATTGACCCGCTTCTAAATCGAATGTAATCTCTAAAGTTCGGTTGATTTGCCGTCGTATAGAAAGGAGTAAGCAACTTCAAGCCGTCTTCTTCTGAGAATGGTTGCTCTTCTCACTTGTCTTCTTGGCTTGCCCTTTCTTTGAACTAGCTTCCGGTCAACACTACTTCTTTTTCAGGAATGAACTGCCCTGCCTAGTCCAGTACTAATCCAAATATGTCTCTCTCCCATCAATCGGTACTAGTTGAAGTAATGAAAATTCTCCCCTATTTCTTTGATGAGAAATGCGAAAGGAAAAAAAAGGATCCCCCGTCGGGACTGACGGGGCTCGAACCCGCAGCTTCCGCCTTGACAGGGCGGTGCTCTGACCGATTGAACTACAATCCCAGGAAAATGAGGTGTACAGCCTCAAAATTCTTCTTTTTTTTCTCTGAATTTGAACCATTTAGTTTCGCCGTCTTGTAACAGAGACAGAAATGATATACTAGAATATATATTTATAAATGCAGTAGACTCATAGTGGGCTAATTCATGAATTGAATCATGACTATATAAGCTATTCTGATATTCAAAGATTCTATATAGATGAAATCGTGGAAGCAGACCTTTGATTTCCTTGGACCACGCAAGAATTCGTCGTCCGATTTCATCTGCTTGTTCCTCGATGCTCTATAGAAATCTATCGCTATTCCTTTCCTCGACCGAGAAAGCTTCATGGAGAATCACAAGAGCAATCTCTTTTTTGTTTTCGTTATGGTAATGCAATGCAAGAGGTCGGAAATCAGGGTGGATGGAATTCAGCTTGTTCAAATTGCTCGTTTCCGCATTAATAGATAGAAAGAAAAGCGAGAGGGTGACGTATTTCCCAATACCAAAGAAGGGCTTTTACCGGTCCTATTTCCTCCTATTTCCGTGTTGGATTTTCTTCTATTTTATGGAGTGGATTTGGGTTTCTTATTCCGTGCCCTTTCCCTTTTTGACTTTTATTATAGAGCTTTGAAAGAGATAAGATAGGACGACAAAGGCTGGGTAAGAAATACATCCTATCTTCGACTCTGCCTTCTAAGAGAAGGATGGGAATTCCGGTCTTTCTTTCTCTTAGCTTCCCTCTCCTGGTGAGTTGCTGTCTCCCTCTATTACTCTCTTTGAGGGGGAGGCGTTCTTGCTCTGCGCATTCCCTTATCGCCTTCTTTCTTCCCATCTTCCCATCTAATGTTTACCCTATTCATATTCATATAGATCATATTGATAGGTCAATCACATCGTATCGTATAACTTGCCTTATCTACAACATAGACTATTTATGCGAAAGGAAATGGTAACCATACTGAGAGACCATTCTGAGGATGTCCCCCTGCAGTCTAAGAATGAGAGCATGAATTAAAGGAAAGTCAAGATGGATTTCCATAAGCTTTATGTGTTCTCATCTATAGATGTCTAGTCTATTGGGATAAGGGTCTTGCATTAAAGCTTGCTTTCGTTATTTCGAGTCCACCGGTAGGTTAGCCAGAAAGGAATGGTCAGCTCTGAAGTCTGCTCTGAGAACTCTTATCCTATTCTGTCTTTCATTCTGTTTTTAAAGGGTCTCTCAACTCTATTCCATAGATCCTTTTATCCGATCAACAAACTCGACTTAGGTTTTCTTAATTCTTAATAGAAGTGATGTCAGATGTGACTAAAGCTTTCGATGAAAAGGAAAGGAAGGAATTCTTGAAATCTATCTTCTTCAGTCTAGAATAAGGCAGGCATTAATATTCAAAGGTTGACTCTCCAGCTGTGACATCATCCACAGCTAGATCCTCCTTTAGTTTAGGAAGTCTATCGAAAGGAAGGCGCTATGTGAATTGCCCAGGTTTAGCTGAGGATGGGATTCGCTACCCGATTAGTCTCCCTACGCTATTAGGGACCTTTGGTCTAGGCTTTGACCCAAAAGTCCACTTTGGATTGAGAACGTCCCACTGTGGATTCATAGATTGAATGAACTGCGGAAAGCTCCTCGCTACCCCTATGTCAACAAATACTGCGCGTCACCGCATTCGTGAAGTCGGATCGCCAAAGCAGCGGTGATGAAGGCCGACACGATTGACCGGAACTTCTGTCTCACGAGGGATTTAGCAGTTCCGTGGCTGCATATTCAGTCGAGCACATGTGGCTGAGTCGCCCGTACCTGAGCTCGAGAAACTTTCCAACTACTGACCGAGAAAAAGAAGTTCCAGAGGCATCTTCCATTCATATCGATTTGGGTTTTTCCGCACCATATTTGGATCTTCCTCTTCTTCGATCCGGAATTCCCAGCAAATCCCTGACTCCTCGAATACAATGGGATTTCACACCTGGCAAATCTTTGACTCTACCTCCTCTTATTAAGACCTTCGAATGTTCCTGCGAATTATGACCTTCGCCTGGAATGTGAGCAAATATATCATGTTTATTGCTCAACTGTACTTTGGCTATCTTACGTAGAGCTGAATTAGGTTTTTTCGGTGTTCTCGTTGAAACACGCGGGCATACTCCTTCCTTCTGGGGACATTGATCCAAAGCTCGAGTACGGTCCGTGCGCCGTTTTTCTTCTCTACCATGACGAATCAATTGATTTAATGTAGGCATCGCGATTTCCTTTGTCCTTCCCCCCTCTTTTTGCCCTATCACTAGTGGTTACTCCCGATCCGAAGCACCCCTTTTCCATTCATAGAGAGATCCAATCGTCAAAATCAATAAAAAGGCCATCATGGACCAAGATCCAAAAGGATCAATCTTGTTGGGAGGTACTGCCCAAGGAAAGGAAAAGGTGACTTCCGGATCAGGAATAATAAATAAAATAGAAACAAGATAAAATCGTATATCAAAACGACTTCTGGCATCACCGGAAGGATCGAAACCACATTCATAGGCCGACAATTTATCTGGATAGGTCGAACTATTGGAAGAAAATGGAAAAGGAACACCGAGTGGGATCAAAGAAACTAGCGAACTGATCACTAAATAGATCAAAATAGGTGAAAATTCGGACATCACCACAGCACACTTCGTTCTTTCGCTCCTTGCGTAATTCGTTGGTTATTGGCGGCATACCGAAAAAAGAAAAGAAGAATTTTTTCATATCGTATCCCTCTCACGAATTGGATTTGAACCAATAGAAAGCGACTTGCCTTTTCTTTCTTTAGTCGATCGTGAGTGGGTCTGTCGTCCTCCTCATTATAGTCCTCCTAGAATCAATAGCATTTCGTCGGAATACATCCTGTCTTTTCACCTTAGTAGTCCTATGCATAGTTAGTACTATAGCCCCAATCATGGCTACTAATAAAATAAGACTAGGAACCAAAAACCAGACGAAATAGTAGGTATAAAGTAAATTGCCCAATGTTTCCAAATTAGTCCAACTTCGTACCTTTTCGGCATAAACCGTATATCTCAGAGAGGTCGTATTTCTTTGGGTTGGTAGTAATGGAATGCTTTCATTATCTAAAATGAAGAACATTTCCCACCAAAAGATCAGTCCAATAATACCACTCACTGGTAAATAGCGCAATACTTCTTCGTGAATCTCCGCTATTTGAATATTGAACATCATAACAACGAATAGGAATGAAACGGCTATAGCTCCTATATGAACTACTGGGAAGATCATAGCGAAAAAGTCGAGACCTAAGAAAAGAAGTAAACCGGAAGTATTGCAAAAGACTGGGATGGGAAACAAAACGGAATGTACCGGATTTTTAGCACGTACAACCATCAAACCAGAGACCAAAGCAGGGCTAGACAAAACAGAAAGTATCATAGTCATAGTACGTCGTCCTTCCCTGAAATGGAACTTTCATGCTAGTTCTTGCTCCAGCATGAAAGTCGATCTATTACGACCAGCGCGGTTGTTCGTATTTCATTTTCTTCTTCCAAGACAAACCCCTTCCTTAAAAAGGCACTGAGTTACTTACGGAATCTCAAATCTCTTTCCACTGTCCTAGGGAATTCCTGAAGTGCCTGGCGCCGGATCCGCCTAGCTTGATCCTTGGCGGCGTCTCGAGCTTTCATCGCTTTGAAACGTTCTTTCCTAGCCCCAGTTCCTCCTTGGCTCTTTTTATGAGAGCTTCGTTCTCACGAAGGGCGCGCAGGTTCTCTTGACGTAGGCGGTCTAAGCCTTCCTGTGTCTCCGCCAAGACATGAGCGTTTGGATCAGACGGACCGCTTTCGTGGGAACCAGAAGCAGCTAAAAGAACGGAATTGTCCGGCCCGGGCGGAGCCGGTGGTGGACCGAACCCACCATTCGTTCCTCCCAACGTGGGATAGAACTGAGCCACCGCTCTGGTTAGCTCATCCATGAAGAGGAGACAAAGACTAAAAAGAATGACGACCACATAAAAAGAAAAAGACACTTTGATTGGAAATGTACGTTGTCGAACCATTGGTAATCGAAAAAAGAAAGAACCGTTGACATCGTATAAATAGAAATCAAAATGGAACTTGAGGATTGGGAGAAAGCTCCATGAAAAAGAAAAAGAGCCTTATTATTATTATTATTCGAATTCTATAGGGGTTTGCGAAAGAATAGAATCTTTTTCGCCACACGCGAGGAAAGGTTTGGAACCCTTGTCACTCCTATAAAGATTCCCGGATGATCCAAAAAAAAACCTCTTTTCTTCCTTCTCTTATGAAATTATCGCTTTCACCCCTTTCTCTAAGGTCTGATGATCAAACTTTCTATTTGCATGTGTTAAGCATATAGCCTAACTAGCATGATTGAGCCCTGCAGTGGTAGAACTTCGTGAACCGGGCATTGGAGAAGGATCGGGTTTCCTTGAATAGCAGACTAGTTGGCATATAAATAGCGTAGAAATACACATGTACGTGACCACTTTGTATAGAAGGTAGAAAAGAAAAAAGAATAAATCGATTGAAAATATACAAATGATAAAGATGTTCTATCTGCACTATGAATCAGTCAAGTGGACTTTCCTATTCTTGATCTAATGGTTGCGCTTTGACTTTTAAAGCGGAATTGACTCTTTAGATCTTTGGTAAAATCAAGTCCACCGCGAAGACATTCATAACATGCTCTACCATAGTTTTTAGCGGATAACCCCAATTTAGGTTTAATAGTACATCCCAGCAGAGGACGACCATATTTGTTCAATTTATCTCTCTCAACTTGGATCCCATGAGGCGGACCTTGGAAAGTTTGAATAGTTGCAGGAGGGATTCGCAGATCTTCCAGACGTAGAGCACGCAGGGCTTTGAATCCAAATACATTTCCTACAATGGAAGTAAACATGTTGGTAACAGAACCTTCTTTAAAAAGGTAAGCTACATAACAGATATATTGATCTCTTTCGCCAGGAACGGGCTCGATGTTGTAGCATCGCCCTTTGTAACGATCAAGGCTGCTAAGTCCATCGGTCCACACGCTTGTCCATCTACCAGTGGAAGATTCGTCAGCTACCGCGTCGATCTATCCTCTGATGCCTATTCTGAGTTCTGTGAATCAAGCAAGGCAGGGCAGAGCAGTATCATATATAGAACAAAGATCCCATAGGCCTAGAAAGTATCATATCGAAGCAGGTTCTTAACTCACCAGATGGAGGAACGGAAGAAGTGAAGGCATATCTAAAAAGTCCCACAGCTCTTATTCCGCCCGCATACAAGTTTGCAAAGGCAAAACCCGGCTTTTGAATTAGGATGAGATTCGCTAGCGCTTTCAGGCGAACTTAACGATGAAAGGCTTTCTAGCTCCAGCAAGTTCTTTTTATCTGGCATCCCGTCCTTAGAGTTTACGTTCTTTTGTGGTTAAAAGCAAGTGAAATGCTTCTTCCTTCGGCTTACGAGGGAAAAGCCAACTAAGAAAGAAAGAATGGCTACACCGATTCCTTCCAAGATCAGGCTAACCCGAACCGAATCCACCGGAAAGATTTTCATCCTAAAGCAGCGAACTCTTACTCCCCTTATCTAGAAAGGGATCGGGCAATCGTATGCTATTCCTAAGGGCCGGTTCTTTTAAGTCAATCCAGAGTACCACGCCGAGGACAAGGGATTCGGAAGCTAGTAGATCCATCATCTACTCTATAAAAGCTTAAGCAGATGAATCCTGAGTAGAGTCAAATCAATCCTAGGTAAATGTCAACAAGAAAGACCTTGCTTTTAAGTACCAAATAAGGGATTCAATCCTTTGCTTTCATTTCCACTAGCTTTAGGATTAGGCATCATAAAGAAAGGAGCATCGATAGCTTCCAGCTTGAATTCTTGTAGTAACAATACCCACCAGCTCTCTTTCGCATCCTTAGATGCCTTTGTCAGAAGGAAGCGAATAGCGGCGTGATCCGTATATACAAATACTTTTGAGCATACCAGATATTGTCGGAACTTGTCCAGGGCATATACGACAGCCAAGAACTCCTTCTCTGTGGTGGCATAGTTTAGCTGAGCACCATCTAGGACACGACTAGCGTAGTATATAACATTAACATGTAGTCGATTGTCCCTTCTTTGCCCAAAGTCCGACGGCATGGTCACTTGCATCGCACATTAACTCAAATGGCTGACTCCAATCAGGTGCAATAATAATAATAATGGGTGCAGATATCAGGGCTTGCTTTAAGATGTTGAAAGCCTTCAAACATTCGTCATTGAAGTCGAAGGGTGCGCCCTTGACCAAGAGGTTGGTAAGGGGTTTTGCAATCTTGGCGAAGTCCTAACTCAATCTCCTATAGAATCCTGCATGTCCTAGGAAACTCCGCACCCCCTTTACATTGGTAGGTCGATTTTCAATTATTTCCATTTTTGCTTTATCTACCTCTATTCCCTTGGCCGACACCTTGTGACCCAGGACAATTCCGTCTGTCACCATGAAATGGCACTTTTCCCAATGTTGCACGAGGTTAGCGCAGCCTTTGAGGACTCGGGAAAGGTTGTGCAGACAGTCGTCATAGGTCATACCAAAGTCATCCATGAAGACTTTAATGATGTCCTCTACCATGTCTGAGAAGATTGCCATCACCTCTGGAAGGTGGCAGGTGCATTGCACAGACCGAAGGGAATTCGCCTGTATGCGAAAGTCCCATAAGGGCAAGTGAATGTAGTCTTTTCCTGGTCTTCCGGTGCCATGGGTATTTTCAAATAGCCTTCGTATCCATCCAAGAAGCAGTAGTACTCATGTCCTGCTAGCCTTTCCAACATCTGGTCTACGAATGGGAGAGGGAAATGATCTTTCCGAGTTGCTTCATTTAGCTTTCGGTAGTCAATACACACTCTCCACCCCGTGACGGTTCGTCTTGGAATTTTCTCGTCTTTATCATTCTTCACCCTCATATAGATATAGTCGTCGGCCTTCCGGAGCTTTAGAATGCCTCTTTTCTCTTCTTTTACGGGCAATATTTTTTTCCTTCAAGTTTAGTGAAAAACTCTCCTCGACGAATTTGTAGAGATGCTGGCGTGCCTCCTGCCAATGGGAATAACTTAGATAACGACAATCCCTTTCTTAGTGATGGAACACAAGTATCAGTGCCCCCCCTCGATGCCTTTCTGTTACTACGCTAGTAGGCCACCACCCAAACGCTATAGGGTCAAAGTCGAAGACGCATGGCTTCACGGCTTTGACAAGGAGTTTGTTCGGTGAGATTTATTGGTATTGCCAATCCACTTCGGGCAGGGGAAATCCGCGAAGAAGCTACCCTATCAGGACAACAAGCAGTCAGTGAGTGAGCGCACTGCTTTGTCCCAGGAAAAATCTGACTTCTTTCCGATACCGCTCTATAATCGATGCATCGGCGCCTTTCGAACCTTTTCTCATTAGATCGGCTGGTCAAGCGCCACATGGAATATAGAAATTCAGGTTCCTAGGAATGTCGTAGGAGTCATTCATCTAGTCCCAAGGGGGCTTCCCGACTCAAGCTACTGGGAAATAGGACCCCAATTCCTACTCACTGAGTGTAAACGACTCTCTTCGGCTTCTTTTCTTTTCTATCTATTAATAATGCTCCGCCCGCCCCTTTCAATAGGAAGGGACCTTTAAACTATTAAATGCTAACTCAGGCCGAATGATCAATATCAAAACAAGCGGCTCACGACGTAGTAGAATGAGATTCTCGCTTCCTTTGGCTGTTCATCTGAATCATATAACAAGAAGTTGGGGTAGCATTTTGATACCCTCGGGCTACAGTTTGCCACTACAAAGCCCGCTGGTGGAAAAGAGAAATATCTTCACTTGATATCACTACAAAGCCCGTTAGGGTAAGCCGAGTCATTTGCTTGACCTTCACTCCTTTCCCTCGTTAGGGATTTCAGCTTTGTGTAGCATTGGAGCTTAAACCCTGACTTCGCCTACTTCCTCATCAAAGGCTAGTTACCGCCCCTTCAACCAGACTTTGATCGATTCCCCGACATCGAAGCGGGGGTAAGACTCCTAATTCTAACTGCTATTCATTGATTTGATTTGATAAAGTAATACTTACCTCAGGCCTTTCCACTACGCGCATCTGAAAAAGATTAGGAAAGAGTCTGGTGCCTATGAGGTGCATGATTCTCTCTTTTAATCGCTTCGCACCATTACCTATTTACTCTATTAGGGGCAATCTCAACTACAAGGAATTGGATTAACCTTAGAGGTAGAGTAGCGGGTACAGCTTTCCCATTCTCATCATAGTATTTCCCAGCCGGCTAGTCACTTCCATCCCTGGCCCTCTTTCAGGCCTATTTGAACGCTAGGAGGGACAAATGCTTTTTCTCTCATGCCCCTTTCTTCTATGTTTAGTGTCTTACTTGTACTCTCAATGGTTTTGAGTTGAAGAGGTCGCTATCTCCCCAGTGAAGGCTCGCTGCTTTGAAAACCTGTGAAAGGATGAAGACGCTTTTGGGACATTCCTGCTTTCCGGCTTTATTTACTGTTACACTTTCTTAAACTACCAATTCGGTGATATCAGTCTGAGAAGTATGTTCTTATCATACGATATTCTAATTCGAGCTTGTAGGAATGAGAAAAGAAGCTTGAAATGCCAAGTTTTCATTGTACTAGAGGCCCTTCTCACCGAAGTCTTTCCCACGATTTTCATTATCTTAGAGTCGACTCCTTTTGCTTTTTCTTACCCGGAGTAAGGGCGCCATCAGTTAGCTTCGGATCGCACTTGACTTTGCTATCAGCCACGGTAGGCTTTTTAGAAAGCACTGTTCTGCTTTGGCGATCAGGTAAGACCGAATGGAAAACTGCGAACTTTTCCAGTATTCGTGGGGAACCCCGCACAACAACAAAACGGGGATAAACGGCCCTATAGACCTCTCTGACTTTTCGTAGCCATATTCACTGGCAAAAGTGCTGCGAAGCGCAAGAGCGTATCGAGAGAGGATATTTTTGGTGTAATGGTCTATACTAGAACCATCTTCTTTCTTTACTGCAAACTAGTGACTGAGCCCAAAGCGGAGATGTAAAGGGCATCTGCTAAGCAAGCACAAAGAGTTCACGTATCGATAGCTAAACCTTAATAAAAGCATCAAGTTTGATTTTCTCTTCAAGAGAGAAATACCTTTCCTGTTTGTTGATAGAGGAAGGGTAGCCAAAAAGGCGAAGTCTGGTACTGGATCATCGGTGTTTATATTTATATAAGAGTCAGACTCAATATCAAAAGAACCGAATAAAGTTTCATCCTCCAGGG